CACACCGCTCAGCCCCGCCCCGGCCCCGCGCCCAGGGTGACTCCGGGCTCACCAGGGGTGGGTGTAGCCCCGAGGGGCCCCCGAGGTGGGCCCAAAACTGCATTTTTGCAGTTTGGCCCAGGGGGTGCAGGCTGCCGCTGCACACCCCCCTGTATTTTTTATTTTATTTTTTGATTTTTTTTTTGATTTTTTTTTTTTTTTTTTTTGGGTGGCGGTCCGGAGCCGGGGTCAGGGGTGCCCAACCCCGGACCCCCGCCGGGGCCCCGGGGCCGGGGCTCGACAACCCTGGATTTAACCACTGCGCCGTTTCGTAGATTGGTGGAACCGATGGTTTAATCTGCGCAAGGCGAGTGTAATGGCACGTAGTGACCATTCCGTAATTTTCTTTTCTCATCTTTTTAGAATTCGTGAAAACCTACAAAAAAAAATTATTAGGTTTGCACGAAATTTTTTGAAGATTCTGATAGTACATTTTTCGGGCCTCCTACATGAACAACATTCTATGTGAAGTAAATTAACCGCAAAAAATGAATGGAAACATACTTTTTCAAAAACACTGGAAGTGGTGAGGAGAGAAGCAAGTTTTTTTACAAAAAAATCTCTACATTGCAAAACACCGTTTGGTCAAGAATCGAAATATCCCATTTTTTTATTTTTATTTTTTTTAAATCAAATTTATAGTTCTATAAGGCATGAAGCACGATGAAACTATTCAGTGGTTTTCCAAACATGCACATATATTATCTTATTCACGAATATATTCTCTTGGATATGTTCCCTCAAACATGGACGAATATATTATTTTTTAATGTTTTTTATTGAAATATTTTTATATTTTTTAATTACAAATCGTGGTTGGCTAAGAATTTGAAGATGTCCCCGGGACAAAAGTTGTTTGAATTCTTCTTTTACATAATATATATTTTTTGACGAGGATTTTACAGTAAACTTAAAAATGGATTATATTAATTAATAGTTCTATAAACTCGTTTTCGCAGAACTTGGTTTTTTCCAAATCGCTGAAAACGACTTATAGTTCTACAAATGAGTATTCACTGAAACTGTTTTTTTTAACGTCTTTCGAGTTCGTCTTGCAGTCCTTAGAGATTGTCTTGTTTGAGCTATGCTTTTTTTCAATGTACTGAAAACGACTTATAGTCTCATAACATGTTTTTTTATTGGAAAGGATTTTCTTGCACATTTTGAGAATCACTAGACTTTTTGCCAATTTTTTTGCCTCTTTTCTCGGGAAACAGTTAAAAACGCTCTCTTTTATGTGTCAAAAATAAGAGTTTGACTTTCAATTTTTCATTCTATAAAAAATGTTAGGTTTTGTGGTTTTGTTAGGTTTTCACAAATTCAGTGTCCCCCCCCTCTCTCTCTCTCTCTCTCTTTGTCTCTCTCTCTCTCTCTCTCCCCCTTCCTCTCTCTCTTTTTCTCTCTCTCTCTCTTTCTCTCTCTCTCTCTCTCTCTCTCTCCCTCTCTCTCTCTCTCTCTCTCTCTCTCTCTCTCTCCCCCTCCTCTCTCCCCCCTTCTTAACGCAGTCATTCGTCCGCTTCTACCAATCTCTCACTTAGTCTGGAGAGCGGTCTTCGGGTACCATATCCTCAACTGTATCAAGCGCTACCTCTGCGGAACCATCGATCGAACTTCTGCGCCAGACGAAGATGGTCGAGAACGCGACTCCATACGGGTGTTGCCATTACTGCAAACAGTACGGACACTTCCTTGCTAGATGCCCTCTGCTAGGACGCGACGATGGCATCATCTTTGGCACGCCGATCGGTCGACCTCCGGTGATAAACCCTCAGTTTGCTCCAAGTGCTCCTCCGCTCCCATCACCTCAGGCTGCCATCGTTCCAGCTTGGTCAAGATCGCCATCCCCAGCACCCTCGGCGTCAAACGCGATTGTGCCTTTCCAACCGAGAGGAACCAGTGCGCAGTTTGGTGGCGAGGGAGGATGGAATAACAGAAACAATCCTGGTGAGATAGCACTGTTCCTAAGGGAGTTAGTGAATGGTGACAGGGAAAAGAGGGAACGACGAAGAGAGTTGGAGGAGAAAAAGGCGAAAGAAGAGCAAGACGCTAAGGCGAAAGAAGAAAGGCAAAGACGTAAGGATGAAGAGAGAAAAGAGATTGACAGAGAAGAACATATGGCAAAACTGTTCGCGGAACAGTATGCTGCAATGGAGAAAAAGAAAGGTGAAGACACTGGATTTAAGAGGGATCCGGCAAAAGGCAAGGAGAAGGCCAATATCGAGGGAACGAAGGCGGAAGAGAAGATAAAGGTGAAAGCTGGAGGTCTCAAGATCTGTGAGGGAGAGGAGAAAAAATGAGGGCAAGAGGTCCTTCAAGGCAGCTCTCCCCTTCAACCTCATGCCGACCGGCAGAAAGTGCTACTCGACGCATCGATCGGACCATTGGACGCAGGGCTCCTACTCATGAACTTCAACACGCTCAAACGTGACCAAGAATCGTTCCAGCGCAACCAAAAATTCATCCTTCAATGGATGGTAATGGCCATCGAGAAACTCGGATCGGTGTTTCCTATCCACATCACCCTCCTCCCCACCTCCCCTCTCACCCTCTGGTGCAGCCTGGTCGGCCTACCCAACCTACTCATCATGTCCCTGCTGCACAATACAACCACTCTGCTCCACTTCCGTCCTCTTCGCATCATAGATCACATACCTATAATCCACCCCGACGCGCCATGTCACCCCCTCCACGCTCCCC